GCCTTGAGATCAGTGTTTTATTCTACATTATGCTGATTTTTCAGTTCATCAGTGTGTTTGTGTGTGTGGGAGGGGATTAGAATCTGTAATAAAACATCAGTTAATTAAAATTTGTAAAATAGGGTTTAGTTCCAGTGTATCCAGAGCATTGTGACTTTTCTTGTCTAATTTTCAGCTCAAGAAAAATACGTCCCATGTGTTTGTTGATCTGTACAAGCTGTAGTAACTAGAAATATACAAACCTTTAAATGTTTTTCCAATTTATTGGTAATGTTATTTTTTTTTCAACATCACAGATTATTTAATTTAACTGAGAAATATCAAAATTCAAATCTGAGATAGTTTGAAGTTGTAAAACTGAAATTTTGTAGGAATCCTGACATTTACACCTAATTAATTAAACAAATGGTTTGGAAACAGCATTTTCATTTTAATTTAATATTTGCTTTCCTGTGTCTCTGTTAGGTTCCCGTTTCAATACCACTTTCACAGTTTTATTCCTGTTTTTAATTCAAACTTCAGCTTCCTGGTGGTTTGAACCAACTAATACTGAAAGTCTTCTATCAAACATCAAATGACCAAATACAGGTGAAGTATTTCACAGCAAAAATCAGTGAGTTAAACACTGTTTTATTAATATTTGTAGTGTACAGGTATCATACGTCAGGCCAGAGTTAAGATGTTTGTTACACCGCCCAGCATAAAGCTCCTGACATYCGTCCTGATATGACACTGATGTTGACCGAGGCCTACCTTGCTGTAAAGTCTTCCCCTGTGGGCAGCTTGAGCCGTGAGATCCATCCAAACCTGAACATTGTTCGCTTGARGTGCTCCTCCGTTAGCTAAGATTATGTTGGATTTTCCAGCAGCGGTGGCGCACAGAGCTGGAGGGAGTCCCCTCARGTCTGATGGTCCAGAGAGCTGTGGTCATCACCAGAAACTGGGTTGCCTGTGTGTGCACGTTTTTTTTTTCACGCCAGTTTAAAAAAGCCCGTCCGAGCCTTTCAGAAACTGCTAGTCTGGCTGTCATGTGCAAGAGGGGAAGTATAAAGTCAGCGGGCCAGTGGGGTGTGTATATATTGTGCGCTTGTGAAATCGTGCGGGATAGAGGAAGCACCGGCGTTTGAGTGAATGTACGAGGGCTCTCTCATAGATTGCTGAATTTTGAYTGGGCAGAGCACAGGGGACCAGAGCGCCGTTATTTCCGCTGATCGCTGATCAGGTGGAAGAATCCCATGTAGCTGAGCTGTAATCCACTTTATAAATGTCTGGAAGTTTCTCTCAAGGATGTCACAAATAACAAAATTTGACGTCCACTGACGGTTGTGGCAGTCGAGCATTAGAKGTAACCGAGCCGTGAGGTTCCCCAGGTAAACATGGAGGTGAACTGAGAGAGTTTGTTAGTTTGTGGAGTTGGGGAATCCTTTTTAGTGCTTCTGATGGCYGAGGGGCGACGGAGGCAACACAGCGTGGTCAGGAGGGGACACCTGCCCRCGTCACTCTGGGTAAGACCTAAAACTGATGGTGATGACTCTGGACGTGCTTCACTGTAGACCAGCAAAAGTTTWGTTRAGTTTAGACTTTATTGAACGTAATGAATTTAAAAGAATAAACAAAGTTATATACAAAAGAAAAATCAATTTAAAMCAAACAKAAAACAAGAACAACAATAATGAGTTATATTTACACGTTCAAAGGAGTGGGTTCTCCTGCGGATAATTTTGGTCGTATCTTTGATGGTTTTTGTAATTTTGTTTGTGTCGATCATTTGGTTTGTAATCTCATTACTGACGTGTGTTGGCAAAATGGATTTTTTTCTTATATTTATTTTTTTCCCCTATATTTAGTTATTTTCAAATTTTCCATCTCAAAAGCTTCAAATTAATACATACTAACATAGCTAGCAACAAGCTAGTTTTYTTTACAAGAATGCCATTTTGAAGACTGGTCTAAGATGATGAATTTATCAGGATTARTTATGAAGACATACCTGTTTAAATGTTTAATTTAAAGGTAGATTWGGAAAATTATGCTATTCAGTTGCCTGCAGCACCAGATGGTGTTTTTATGAACTAATATTTGAGGTTTTAAATGTCAGCTAAGAAAAATGTCTATTTTTAATGTTTTTATGTCATACCCTGTGCTAATTTTGCCACATAGTGCTTAATATTTAGCTTTATCTAAGCTTCTAGTTTATGCCTTCAACTTGTTGCACAATCAGTGTGTTACTTCTGAAATCTGACAGTAGGGTTGCGGTGCAGCAGAGTCGAGCTGGTTTCCTTCACACCCCTGACAAGAGTAGAGCTCGCACACTCAGCCTTTGCCTTGGCTTTTAATCCTTCACAAGTTCATTTCACGGTCCAGCAGTGCTGATGAAGGACTTCACTTTCTGGAGCCGCTTGTGAACAAGTTTAGATTTTCTGTAGAGAAAAAAAAACTTGTTTTAGGTTTCGTTTCTGCTTTTTAAAGCAAAATTATTTGTATCAAAGCGTCAACAAAGTTCTGCACGTTTGCTTAGATCTTAGAGTGCAGATAAGTCATGGTTTGCACTGTGGCTGTGGACACTCAAACCCCACCCAATGATAAAACTACCTAAATCTTTTGTCCTGCTGTAGTTAACATTTAGGTCTCCTRTGATGTTCTTTCTGTCGATTTTTAACTTTTTAGTCATGAGGAACATCTTATTCCAAAGGTCAGTACTGTTTAATCAAACCTGTAGAGATACTGGCCCGAGCATTCACGGGACAATCTTCTGTTTTGGAGCGAGCTTGTGCTAAAAGGTTGGAGTGTTGTTGGTTTTATTTTGCTGTTTTATTCTTTTCAATGTAAGTACTTCTATAGAAACAAGACGTAAATAACCTCAGACTGTAGGAACTTCTGAATGCAGAGCAGACATTTTTTGTTTTGTCATGTTTTCTAGTACAAGTTCTCACTTCCTGTTTTTGTTGTTGTTTCTAGTCTCAAACCATGAATATCGTGGGCCAGTTGGCAGAGACCGTGTTTGTAACGGTGAAGGAGCTGTACCGGGGTCTAAACCCRGCCACTCTCACCGGGGGGATCGACGTCATCGTGGTGCGGCAGCCTGATGGATCCTTCCAGTGTTCCCCCTTTCACGTGCGCTTCGGGAAGCTCGGCGTGCTGCGCTCCAAGGAGAAAATAGTCAGACTCCGACCCTTTTTATTAGAMCTTCTCGTACTCTTTCGAAGCCACGTGTGGTTCTCTGAAAACGCCGCTGTAATTTCAGGTGGACATTGAGATCAACGGAGAGCCGGTGGACCTGCACATGAAGCTCGGAGACAACGGGGAGGCTTTCTTTGTGGAGCAAAACGAAAACATGGAGGTGAGTGGATGCCAACGAGTGCCGGTGTCGGCAGAGTCGTTTCAGTTTCTGGTCCKCGTTCACCCTTCTGTTTCAGGTCCCGGCCCACCTGTCCACCTCCCCGATACCCCCGTCTCCTGAGGAGTTGGAGGAGATGGCCGAAGGGGCCCCCTTTGCCGGGTCCGGAGCCCGCAGGAAGAAACGCCGGCGCAAACGGGTGCGCTGCGACTCGCACCTGAGAGAGGAGGCCAGCTCCTCGTCAGACGAAAGAGACCGAGAGAAGGAGTGTGAGAGGGACGCCGATCCAGCTCGGTGGGACAGTCCCGCATCAGAGGACCTGTCCACACCTCTGCAGCTCAGGTCGGTTAGTTTAACCTACAGAGGTTCATGTTTTCCAGTTCTCATGCTAAATTCATCCTAAACAATTAGGGATGCACCGATATGAGAATTRCAGCCGATATTGATATTCGATATAATTATTGCTGTTATGGCCGATAACTGATATTTACAGATATTACACAAACACACAAATTATATTATGCATATATGCACAAACACACTTGAGTCTTTTTTGATACRGTAAATAAATGACCAGAKCTCTGACATGGCTCCCTACTTCAGTTATTCCTGWCTGCACAGCATCAATATCACTATCGTGATCAAACAGATGCTCTCAACCAACCATCTCCCCTCCCAAAACAGAAACACAAAGCTAAAAAAACGGGAAATCAATATCGGATGTTAATATCGGCCCAGTTTTACATATCGGACCGATACCGATATCAATGCCGATTTATCGTGCATCCATATATATCCATATAAACAACTGAATTATTTACAGTATTACTGCTCAGTCAAAATGATTTATGTGTTCCTGCCTTTTCACTGCTTCCTCACTGATTCAGAGTTTCATTAATGGATTTAAAAAAATATGCTCTGATCAAGTCGTTATCAATGCTGATGTGATAAAGAAGGTGCAAAATTTCAACATTTCAGRTGTTTGAGAAATGTCTCTGCCTGGGCCAGCAGGACTAACTAATAAACGTTATTGATCAACATTAATGTTAAGAGCTAAGGGTGAAAGCTGTCACACATTTTGTTCATATGTGTGTCACTTATCCACCAGGTGACAATATATTAACAATATATGAACCCAAATACAGCTGTGGCATGTCAATGATAAGTCTTAAGAGCGCAACATGTGACTCATGTTGTCTGTTGAAGAATGTGCATGGGTTGACTGGGTTATTTTAGTGCTTTAAAATAAGCTTTTGCTAAAATTTTCAGTGCGTTAGTCCTTTAGAATTAGGGGACCTAAATATTTGAGTTAGTGTTTTAGGGCTAGTGGAGCTATTTTTTAGATTAGTGATGCCCACCACTGCTGATTTCATGAAGGTTTATTTTTATTTTTYCTGTATTTTTGTGTTTAAAGTAAGTCCGTGTACTACTCAATGTCTGAGGGGCCAAGTGAGGAGACGGGATCCTTGCAGCCCAGAGAAACTCATCCACATTCTGACGGAGAGCAGTCGCCCTCTGAAAAGTGAGAAAACTGTTTAGCTTGTTTGATAAACGTGATGTGTTTCACGTTTTCACCCTCTCTACGTGTTTCTCTTCCTCAGCTGTGTTTTCTACAGCCGGCCAGATTCTCCCAAAAGTGACTCGGAGCTTTTGTTCAAAACCCAAGATTCATCTGGGCCTCAGATGCAGTGGAACTGGGGAGGTTTTCCACAGGTATCTTAACACACTTGTAGTGATTATGTACTAAAACTTCTCAAACATTAAGTTATGAGGAATTCACGAGTTCTTTCTGTGGGAAGAGTAAACACTTCTCTGTGTAAATATGAGGAGAACATACAATAATTTAACATACTCAGTGTCCGGGTTTTTTAACCTAGGAACTCAGAGAAACACAGCAAAACCCGGCCGAACATTAAATCAATGACAACAGAAG